ATATATAAATATATAAATATGATACAACCATACTTTGACCTCTCTCTCTAAAGTTACATCATAATATCCCGCTGAATCTTCTAAACCAGAAATCACAAGTTCATTTTTTCCCCCGTTTTTACACAAAAAGGCCAGAAGAGGTTTCCAGCCACCGATAAACGCAGACTTTGTCTTTTCTCTAATCAAAGAACTCCGTTTATCCACCTCAGCAAATTCTTTCAATTTCCCCCAACATTCCTTGGTTTTTTTTTTTTTTTTTAATTGTTAATGTTCACCAGAAAAAAGAAAGAAAGCGGAACGTCGGGGCCGGAGAAGAACAACAAAGATTTCTAAATGGCATTTTTTTCCTTCTGCCTCCTTCTGTTCCTCCTTCCTCTTTCTGTTCTGAGTGGTGGATTCCTGTTTGAAAAGTACAGAGGAAGAGATTCGAGGAGGGATCCAGGGTGATTTTTGGGGGAAATAATCTCGCTCTGGAACAGCCAGAATGTCGTCTGAGGTTCAGGCGGTTCAAAGGTTACCCTAAAAGTTCAGTTCCAAAAGGGTGCTGTCAAATGTTGCACGAATGTAAGATAGACTTGAGGGATGCTGGAAGCTCACCCGGTGCAGGTCCCCTCCCTGTCTTTAAGCTTCTCTCCTCTTATGCATTCACACACACCACACACACACACAGAGTAAAGCCTTTCGAAGTTCAACTTCATGAACTGCAAACCTGCTTGCCAATTTCATTCTGCCCTGGATCATCTCTCCTTTAATAATCCCTTTTTTTCCCCAGAATCCCCAACATTCCTCTTTTGCCTCCGGCCTCTCTCCCAAAGGGACCAAAGACCCCCGTCCCCCCCCAGTTAAAGCAAAGGGGGGGCCCAGCCGTTCACCCCCACGCCAAGATTGTAACGAGGCCGACCAACCACGGATTAACGATGGCACGATAGGGGGTTCTGCAGCCCCGTGGGATTATTTTATTCAGATTCTTTCCTGCACCCCAACAAATATTTTATAGGGGGCTAATGCTAGGAGCCCTTTTGGACCCCAAATTGGATCCTTAGCAAGAGGCAGGGAGGGGGAGAAAGGCCCAACATGGTCGAACTCAGCGCCAACATTTACAGCAGAAAAGAACAGAGAAGTTCCTGAATCACCCGTTTTTCTGCCTTGCCAGCAATTCACTGAAAACTCCCCTTAGTTCCTATTTCTCCCCCCCCCCCCCATCAAACCCTGGTTGGCTCCATCGCTGTCCTGTCCAGCCATCCGCACCATCTTCTCTAACCATCCAGTTCTGTTTTACTGAAAACTCCCTAGAAGTTCCCTACAAGAGGCCAGTTTGGTTCTAGAGAAAGAAAAACAAGTTTTTTTTCCACTTGTCTTGATTTCTTCTTTCTAAACTTTCCTTCAGCCTACAGACCTATTGCACCTTCTTTACCAGAAGCTGCTTTATTCTGTTTTTATTGTTTACGACAGCTTTGTGACATGGGGCAGGTTAGAGATTACAACCGTTCCCAAATTCCATTCCTTTCCTTTCCTTCTTTCTTTCCTCTTTCCTTCTTCCTTCCTTCCTTCCTTCCTTCCTTCCTTCCTTCCTTCCCTTCCTTCCTTCCTTCCTCCCTTCCTTCCTCCCCTCTTTTTTCTCTTTCCTGCCTTCTGTTTCTTTCATTCCTTTCACCTTTCCTTCCTCTCTCTTGCACACACAGATACTCATCCCCCCCTTTCTCAAAGTGGCACCCATTTCACATTCCCTCTTTATTCTCCCCCCTGGGCAAAGCTACCAGAAACGCGAGACACTGTGCCAGGCGGGCCACTGAGTGGGAGAGACCGGCCCACATTCACCCCTAAACTTCACGACAAATTAAATGCGCTTTCCCTCAACTCCCCCAACTCTATTTGCCGGTGGAAAAACATGCGCGCACACACACAGAGTCCTAGGCATTGGTCAGATTGGCACGGGAGTTCAATGACACGCACCCCGAGCACAGTTGGGAACCGTCTCACCTGGCTGCACGCACGGGACTCCGGAGCCCATGAAGCCGGCTGTGGCCACCATCAGGTGGGTTATCAGGGAGGCTCGAACCAGCCACATGACGCCGAGGGAATGCCACACGTCCCCAGGACTCTTGCCAGAGCCTCCGAGACCTCGTTCAGCCTTTGCTTGGCGTCCCAGTTGTAAAGAGACATTTGAGGAACTCTCAGTAACGCGGCTGTTAGCTAGTGAATGCCCCTCTGAATTGTGAAAGCAGGTGGAGAAGTTGAGCAATGGGGCGGAGCTGTAAGGATGTGGGTCAGGAGGGGGGTGTGGGTGGGGGAAAAAACGCAAGCACTGTGCAGAAAAAAAATATCATGCACCTTTTTTCCCCGTCCCAGCTCTCGCTGTTTCAAAAGAAGCTGCTTTTGAAATCCGACTGTCAACTAGCCGAGAATGGCTTGCAAAAATCAGGGAAGTTCTCTTAAATGCAGAGGAGGGGTTTTTTTGGGGGGGGGGAGGGCTGGAGGCAGCTCAGGAATAATATCAACAAACAGCCCCACGCTGCAAGGAAGAGGGCAGATGCGTTTCAGGGTGGGCAGTGCTTTTAGGTCGCTCGAGTGAGCGAGCCAAGCCGCGGCAGGCGTTGCTTTCCCGCAGCTCGGCCACGCCCGGGTGGCCCCCTCTCTATTTTCCTCTACTTTAGAAAAAGTGATGAGATGCATCGCAGGTTTTCCAAAAATGCACCCGCGCAATTAAGCCCGGATCTGATTTTCTACGAAAAGCTTTGTTTAGGAGGCAGCGTGATTTGTTTTCCTGAGTTTGCCGCTTCCCAACCCATGGAAAAATCTGCATTCTCCAAACGGGACCTACCAAAAAGATGTGCTTAAATGGAATCCGTCTTAGCGCACAGAAATGCAACTTGCTGTATTTTCCCGTCCCAGTTCACACACGTGTCGTGTGAATGTACCTGCCACAAGCTGGACATTTAAATCCTTCGTGATCCCAGAAGCCTGCAAGCTCCTTACTCAGACTGGGGATTCCTTGTTTCACAATACAATAAGTTAGCTCTGTTGCATGGAAAGGATGGCCCTGAATTTTTCAAAGATGCCCCCCCCCCCCCGGTCCTACTCTGGTAACTTCCATAAAGGGAAACCCAAGTTTCTAGCCCTCATGGCGGCAACCTGAAAAGAAAAAATTAGAAGCCGTCTCCTCTCCCCCCTGCAAATTCCTTCTTTAAAAATTAAGAAGGGCAGTAGGAATCGGGGGGACAGAACTCATCCCCAGAAAGGGCAGCCCCACATATGTAGGGGAGCATACTCCACAACACAGCCCCACACCGAATTGAGGGCAGACACAGGATTGGCTTTCCCGAGATCTGCAATCGACGCACGACGCTGCAAATAACCACATTTTTTTTGGTAAAGAAAACGCCATTTCTCTTTATATTCATAAAACGATACCATTCTGCCCAGTATAGAAATGTATAATAAATTATACGGAATGTTCCTTAAACCCCGCGTGGCACAGCTGCAACTTTGCTCCTTCCGCCAAAACGGAGAGGTTGTGGCCAACCGTATTCCCCCCCCCCCCGCTGACAAACATTTCCTCTTTGGTATCAAAGTTGGTCTTGGATGAGAGCCGGGCACGGTCCCTCGCCCGTGGCGCCGAGATCGAGGCCCCCTGCCCCGCATCGGTTCCAACTCGGCGGTGGGCCAAATTTGTGACCGGAAGAGTTGGAAAGAACACGAGACCCAACTTGCCAGCGTCCTCCTCTCTTGGGACCGTGACCTTCAAGGCACGCCAGCCAAAACGTCGATGTGCAAGGAAATCCACGTTGGCACGGGCTGGCGGGTCACCCAACCGAACTCTCCTTTTTCAGGGCGGCATGTAAGCCCGTCCCACAATATTTGGCTAAGGACAAGCTGTCTGACTTCAAGGCCACAGGATAGATTTGAAAAAGGGGGCCTCCCAAGTTAGAACCAATTCTGCTTTTCAACCGAAGAGAACCACCGTGGGGGCTCCGCAGGATCGGCGGTCACTTCTTTTCCCCTAACGGTAGAGCCGGCTCTGGAGGAATTCCCTACCCAAACGGGCATGCAGGAGCTCGCCGTTCACTTCCGAGGAAGGTAGGGAAACACGGCTCGGGGGTGTGTGTGTGGGAATTTACTCCATCCATCTGCTGTTGGGAATCTACCAGCTCTGGGAGGCCCTCCGTGCGAAAATTCACACGCCTCTGCAGACCGAGACAGACCCCCAAAAGGAGAGACGGTCCAGGAGGGGAATGGGGTCTTCAAACGGAAGAGGGAGCCGCACGGATCTCGGTGAGTTTGGCCAGGGAAGAAGAGAAACCAGGCTTCTTCGCAACCGGGACCGTTCTCGGCGTCACTCTTCTTTGCTTCGGTTCGATTCGGTGGCCCCCGTGGCCCCGACTTCCTGGGACACGAGGCTTCGGGAGAGCAGCTGGGCGACCCTCTGAGAACGGGGTGGAGGAGGCAGCTCTTTGCAATCTAAAGTCTGACGTGAT